AGAGGAGGAATGCAGGGCTGAGAAATCAATAATGAGTCTTTTTATTGTTAAACTTTCCAGTGGATATTCCTAGAAGATTAGTTCTCCAACAGGTGAAGGGTGGGATTGTGAAAGGCCTTATCATGAAACCGTTGTCAATCTCTTTATGGAGGAGTGCCCATATATTATTTGGGTCCGTGATTTTTGCTGATTGTAAGTTGGGACATTCTAGTATACCTGTGGGGAGTGCAGCAAAGCCAGTGTGAAATCCATAAGAGAAAGCAGAGATTAGAAATTCGTGGGATGGAAGGATGATCAGTCAAGTAACAGTGCAAATTGGGTATGTTTATTGAAGTAAGTGATTTTTTTTGGAAATAGTTTGTTCGGACATATAGTCTTGGCATGAAGTCTGAAACACAGTGAGCCTATGCGAAGGAGACTGCAGGCATCTCCCTCCTCCTCCCTCTCCCCCCCTGCATTAAAATTATTATGCACTTGGGCCTTCCCCAGAAAATAATTGGTCTCCCCTATTTATCTTTTAATTCTTTTTGGCAGGACTAGGTTGGAACTCTGTACTAGAACCACTTTGTGTTTTTAACAATCAAAATCTGTAGTGGGATGCTGGGCTGGCTACTACAGCCTGTCTCATAGGGGAGTTAGATCTGGTCAGGGTGCTGGGAAGCGATAGATCATCTCAGTGTAGCAAAGCGTTAAACATACTATGGGTGCAAAGGAAACAAATTGATTATCGATACGATCATGATCGGTATGAAGTAAGCCAGCTAACTAAAACTAGTGGCGAAATTATATTAACTCGTTTGGTGACAGGTGAGGCCCTGCTAATTACAAAGTGGCTAGAGAGGCTCTGTATATGATTTGGCTTGTGGAAGCTTTTTTGATGACTGTGACATAAGTGACAGGGTATTGGCCTCTCGGTGACAATTACAAGATTTAAGATAGATTGGCCCAATGCAAGGCTCTAACTATGCATTGGGCCGTTGGGCTTTGTACCTCCGAGCATGAGAAACATAGATAGAAACATAGAATGTGATGGCAGATAAGAACCATTTGGCGCATCTAGTCTGCCCAATTTTCTAAATACTTTCATTAGTCCCTGGCCTTATAGCTTGGATAACCTTATGCCTATCCCACGCCTGCTTAAACTCCTTTACTGTGTTAACCTCTACAACTTCAGCTGGAAGGCTATTCCATGCATCCACTACCCCATCAGTAAAGTAATACTTCCTGATATTATTTTTAAACCTTTGCCCCTCTAATTTAAGACTATGTCCTTTTGTTGTGGTAGTTTTTCATCTTTTAAATATAGTCTCGTCCTTTACTGTGTTGATTCCCTTGATGAGGATGGAAGTTGGCCTTGCGGGACCACTCAACTAAGGAAAAGAAGCCTTACCTGGTAAGGCTTACCTAGTTGGAGAGAAATTCCAGATGGTAACTTCATACCTTACAAGGGGAGCGGGAAAAAAATAGTATATATATATATATATATATATATATATATATATATATATATATATAAATATTTTTTTTATTTTATTTTATTTTTTATTAAAAGTACCTTGCCAGTGTACTGGAAATACTTTATTTAATTACTTGGGATGTGTATGGTTCTTGACCTAAACGGAAATTAAATTTCCCTCACAGACCATCAACAAGAAGTAGTAGTAAAATAAAACAGTTGTTAGGTTGCGCTTGCACCACAGTTCTGTTTGCTAAAAGTTTGTTAAAAATATTGTACTTACCAGAAAGTCCAGTTATAATGATGAGACATAGACCTATTGTATTTTTCTTTTGTGGAAGTCTTGAAGCGGCTGTTTCTCTTGATCCAATTAAAACATAGGGTAAGATAAAAAACTCAAATGGTATAGTATGTCACAGGCACATGAAGTATAAATTCGTATTTGCCCTAATCACCTATTGTAGAGCTAGTAAGCTAGAGCTTTTCAATGGCAAGATGGATATCTTCTGGTAAGTTGTGACGTAAGCAGCCTTTATACAAGTATCCCACATAATAAATGTTGTGAGGCCGCTAGATACTTTTTAGAAAAATCTGGAGATATACCGGAAAAACAGATTTTATTGTGGATATGATTTAAAAACATTTTTTGGGGGGTTTAATAATGAGTTTTACCTCCAACTCATTGGTACAGCAATAGGGACCAAGTTTGCTCCAAGTTATGCCAATTTATTTATGTCCTACCTTGAGGAATCGTTTGTCCTCAGAGGAGATAGACTTGGAGCAGGCTTGGTCCTTTATAAGAGATATATTGACGATAGTTTTATTATTTGGAGGCGGGAAAGGAAGCTTTTGTTGAATTTTTAGCCGGTCTTAACAATAATACGTGGAATATCTCTCTATCTTATGAAATTAGTGATAGTAAACTACACGTTTTGGATTTAGAAATGTATATTGAAGAAGAGATAATAAAGAGTAAGACGTTTTTTAAACAGGTCGATGTAAATAGTTACATCGATCTAAAAAGCTGTCACTTTAAACCATGGCTATCCAATATCCCTTAGGGTCAATTCCTTCTGCTAAAAAGAGGCTGCAGTGATGCTGATGTTTTTAAAAATCGGGCAACAAATTTAAAAAGACAGTTTCTTCATAAGGGTTATGATAAAATCAATTTAGATTCTATATGTTCAAATATTCAAGAATTGGACCGGAAGGAATTGATAAAATATAAATGCTGAGAAAAGAAAGTAGATGGTAATATCCCCCTTATTTTTAATTATAATTCCAAACACAATGAATTACGTAAAATAATAAATAAATATTGGTATATTTTACATCAAGATTCGGATTTAAAAGATTTTATAGGACCTAGACCAAAATTAATTTTTAGAGGAGTGAAAAATTTAAAAACCACTTTTAACTTCTAGTTTTTTAGATAAACCAATTAATCCCACAAATATCTTTATGAATTCAAGTGGATTTTGTTATTGTGGATTATGTATGGGGTGTAAAACGATGAAGAGGAGTAACAAAAAAGATCCAAAGTTTTAAATGCAAGTTTGTTGCAAAATTGAAGCGCTTCAGACTAGGTTTTTTTGCCTTCTTTTGGATCAACAGCAAAAATATATGCAAGGATGGCTGAACTTGATGGACGCAAGTCTCTTTTCAGCTATGTAACTATGTAAATCCTTCAGAACAAATAAAGAATATAAGATTAAGAATCTAATCACATGTAACACTAAATGTGTAGTATACCTCCTGTCCTGTCCATGTGGTTACCAATACGTAGGGAAAACCACTAGACACTTGAAAGTTAGAATTAGAGAGCACATTGGTAACATTAGAAGAACATGTACGAACCACAATGTCTCAAAACACTTTGCAGATTTCCACAATGGATACACGAAAGGTTTACAATTTTGTGCAATTGAAAAGGTGTCTACACATTGGAGAGGTGGTGATATCAATTTTAATTTGAACAAAAAGGAAATGGAATGGATTTTTAATTTAGATACTATTACCCCCCAGGGGATTAAATGTAGAGTTTGAAATTAACCAATTTATATAAGAATGGAAAAAAAAATTCTTCAAATATATTATATAGTATATTTTTTTTTTATTAAAACATTTTCTCTTCCTAATATATCTCCATGATATTAGCATTTAGTACTACATTTTTAAACAATTTTTTATATAACATTTTTTGATTAGTATATATTTTAAACGTAATATATACTTTTAAATATTAGCCCCTTATAGAGAGTTAGATAAAAAAAAATCCTCTGCATCTCCTTTTGCACTATTCTACTCCAGCATGCGAGTTCAACCAGTTGATCTATTTATTTAGTAAATTGTTAAACAAATTGTGATATGATCTGTATGCTTTATTACAGATATCTAGCGGCCTAAATTTACTGTTCAAGATCCCGCAGTGGTAGTGTTTTATTAAGTGTTCACTCTCACCTATTTACTTTATTTCTTTGGCTATTTTTATTAGTGTTGTTGGGTGACATAACATTGTTGATAGTAGCAACATTGAATTACTTTATTCCGGCACTGTTTTTTATTTGCATTTTCCATTAATAATTACAGTTAGTGTAATTATGAAAATGACCAGCAGATGGCAGTCTCAAATACGATTTACTGTGTTAAATAGGAAATCCATTTTCTAAGGGTTAGGGTTAGTGGTGGAGTTAGGGTTATGGCAGAGTTAGATTTAAGGGTAAAAGTAAGAGTAGGGTTAGGGATAGACTTAATGTTTGCAGGGCTGCCACGAGAAATTTTGGGGCCCCTGACAAAGCACAAGTTCTGGCCCCCACCCCCCGCCCACGAGGCCGTCCACAGGACTCCTACCTAGTCCGCTGACAATGATGCAGGACTGAATGTGGTGTGTATAGTGGAAGTGAATTAGAATGTGTGTTTTGGATGTAGTGTTTGTGTGTAGTAGATACTGTTTGTGCAGTGAATGCAGAGTGTGTGTTTGTGTAGCGGATGCAGTGTGTATAGTGAACGCAGAGTGTGTTTGAGTAGTGGATGTAGTGTATGTACAGTGATGTAGTGTATGTGTATACTAGATGCACTGTATTTAGTGGATGTAGTGTCTATAGTGGATGCAGTGTGTGTATTAGAAGCAGTGTCTCTGTATAGTGAATGCAGAGTGTTTGAATGTGTGGTGGATGTAGTGTGTGTACTGTGAATACAGGATGTTTGTGTAGTGGATGCTGTGTGTATAGTTAATACAGAGTGTGTGTTAGTGTAGTGGATGCAGTATGTCAGTGTAGTGAATGCAGAGTGTGTCAGTGTAGTGGATGCAGTGTGTTAGTGTAGTGAATGCAGAGTGTGTGTCAGTGTAGTGAATGCAGAGAGTGTGTTAGTGTAGTGTATGCATGTTGTGTAAATGGAACATTTCCCCCACACCCGCCACTTTAAAAGTGATGAATGTTATTCCCCCCTCCCTGCTTCTTACCTGGTTCAGGGAGATGGGAGATTCCATCCCTGGTGGTCCAGTGGCATTGTGGGCCCCCCCCCGGTTCCCTGTATTTGCAGAGGAGGCCCAGCAGACTGCAGCAGTACATTACAGCTCTTCCCTCTCTCCAACTCTCTCTAACTCCCGTGAGCGTGGCGTGCGTGCCGCGCGGAGCGTTGCCATGGTAAGCCGCGGGAGTTAGAGAGAGGGAAGAGCTGTAATGTCCTGCTGCAGTCTGAAGGCTTCTTCAAGTAGATGATAATAAAACTACTTGAAGAAGCCTTTTTAGGCGAAACACGTTTCGATAGTTTTTACCAGTTTACAATAAAGGAATTATGTTGGCATATATTATCCTATTGCCATATTATCCTCTTTTATTATTTTTATTATTATTTTTATTATTACCTGACTACATCAATACTGTATACTCTATAAGAAGTACAAAGAATCCACAGGTGGGGATTATACCACCCAAACAGTACAAGCCTGCTCTAAACAATGTGAGTAATATATTTTATATTTTTATAAAATCTTTTTTTCATAAAACAGAGAGCACTATATTTTATTCTTTTACTTCTGGGTTGAACAATACCAATATTGGACGCTGAACTCGTGCCATATATCTGCCAATCAAGTATTACCTCATATATCCTTGAGTAGGGATTATTCCACTTCACGCGTGCAGTACCAGAGCTGGATTTTAGCTCTGTAAAGTGTGAGTAATACTGATTATTACTACCTTACCATTTTAATTCACCTATATGCTGTGCCATTGGAGTCCTGTTCTTGTCTTCTTTTTTGCATATGCTTCACTGAATTTCAAATATATAACCGTGATGACCCACTCCATCTTATATCTCAAGAGTCCTCCTATTACACGTGGATTTTATCATCTTGGATTTATGATAAATTATTTGGATTACTGTTAATATTTTACTATATATTTTATTATATGTTTTAGGCGCACCCTTTTTCTGTTGTGTGTTATCTTGTGTTTCATCTCTTTGTGTGTTATTAGTTTAAGCAGACTGTGATTGTCTATTGTTGTGACATATGATGATCAGATCACATTTTATGACCAATTTGTGCAGAAATCCATATCATTCCAAAGGGTTCACATACTTTTTCTTGCAACTGTACATAATTAAATAGTCAAAAAGGCTGAATAAAGACTTGCATCCAACAAGTACAGCCTGTCTTACATCTGTTTTTATTTTTGATCCAAAAAGGCAAAAAATAAATTTGCAACAAACTAGGAAACAAATTCCTTCTCGACCTCATAATAGCAGTCAGATCTCTCCTTGGATCAAGAAGCTGTTACCACACATATTAAAAATTATATTCCTGAATATTATGTTTTTGCAAGAATTCCACACCCTTATTGTTCTTACTGTAAAGAATCTTTAGCTTTTCCTTAGAATAAATCTAATTTCTTCCCAACTGGTGATCCAATGTCCTATGTATAATCATTTTTATGAATAGATTATTCACCAATGGTTTGTATTTATTTACAATATATTTTTATAATGATATCATATCCCCTCTGAGGCGCTGTTTTTCTAAACTAAACTGATTTAAATTTCTTAGCCTTCATACATATCACTTATATCATTGGATATTCTGTTCATGCAAAAAAGCATCCAATTAAAATTTTTAGAATCTGATGAGACAACCTCTTAATGCTGAGAATTTGTCGTTACTGCAAACAACTTTTCTTTGCTGTAAGCGAAAACGCATTTCTTCCAGTCTTAGTTGCGTGACCTTGTCTGTTGTATATTCCTGCTAATGAACAGATTAGCACATATTAGTTTTTACTGGCTTTGTGTATAGTGCTATCATATCCTCTCTAAAGGTGCCTTGCAAAAGTATTCACCCCCTTGACTTTTTACCTATTTTGTTACATTACAGCCTTAAGTTCAATGTTTTATTATTCTGAATTTGTGATGGATCAGAACACAATAGTCTAAGTTGGTGAAGTGAAATGAGAAAAATATATACATAAAGCTATTTTTTAGAAACCGCAAACAGAAAATTGGCATGTGCGTATGTATTCACCCCCTTTGTTATGAAGCCCATAAAAAGCTCTGGTGCAACCAATTACCTTCAGAAGTCACATAATTAGTGAAATAATGTGCAATCTAAGTGTCACATGATCTGTCATTACAGGGAGTGCAGAATTATTAGGCAAGTTGTATTTTTGAGGATTAATTTTATTATTGAACAACAACCATGTTCTCAATGAACCCCAAAAACTCATTAATATCAAAGCTGAATATTTTTGGAAGTAGTTTTTAGTTTGTTTTTAGTTATAGCTATGTTAGGGGGATATCTGTGTGTGCAGGTGACTATTACTGTACATAATTATTAGGCAACTTAACAAAAAACAAATATATACCCATTTCAATTATTTATTATTACCAGTGAAACCAATATAACATGTCAACATTCACAAATATACATTTCTGACATTCAAAAACAAAACAAAAACAAATCAGTGACCAATATAGCCACCTTTCTTTGCAAGGACACTCAAAAGCCTGCCATCCATGGATTCTGTCAGTGTTTGATCTGTTCACCATCAACATTGCGTGCAGCAGCAACCACAGCCTCCCAGACACTGTTCAGAGAGGTGTACTGTTTTCCCTCCTTGTAAATCTCACATTTGATGATGGACCACAGGTTCTCAATGGGGTTCAGATCAGGTGAACAAGGATTGTTCTTCTTTTATACCCTTTCTTGCCAGCCACGCTGTGGAGTACTTGGACACGTGTGATGGAGCATTGTCCTGCATGAAAATCATGTTTTTCTTGAAGGATGCAGACTTCTTCCTGTACCACTGCTTGAAGAAGGTGTCTTCCAGGAACTGGCAGTAGGACTGGGAGTTGAGCTTGACTGCATCCTCAACCCGAAAAGGCCCCACAAGCTCATCTTTGATGATACCAGCCCAAACCAGTACTCCACCTCCACCTTGCTGGCGTCTGAGTCGGACTGGAACTCTCTGCCCTTTACCAATCCAGCCACGGGCCCATCCATCTGGCCCATCAAGACTCACTCTCATTTCATCAGTCCATAAAACCTTAGAAAAATCAGTCTTGAGATATTTCTTGGCCCAGTCTTGGCGTTTCAGCTTGTGTGTCTTGTTCAGTGGTGGTCGTCTTTCAGCCTTTCTTACCTTGGCCATGTCTCTGAGTATTGCATACCTTGTGCTTTTGGGCACTCCAGTGATGTTGCAGCTCTGAAATATGGCTAAACTGGTGGCAAGTGGCATCGTGGCAGCTGCACGCTTGACTTTTCTCAGTTCATGGGCAGTTATTTTGCGCCTTGGTTTTTCCACACGCTTCTTGCGACCCTATTGACTATTTTGAATGAAACGCTTGATTGTTCGATGATCACGCTTCAGAAGCTTTGCAATTTAAGAGTGCTGCATCCCTCTGCAAGATATCTCACTATTTTTGACTTTTCTGAGCCTGTCAAGTCCTTCTTTTGACCCATTTTGCCAAAGGAAAGGAAGTTGCCTAATAATTATACACACCTGATATAGGGTGTTGATGTCATTAGACCACACCCCTTCTCATTACAGAGATGCACATCACCTAATATGCTTAATTGGTGGTAGGCTTTCGAGCCTATACAACTTGGAGTAAGACAACATGCATAAAGAGGATGATGTGGTCAAAATACTAATTTGCCTAATAATTCTGCACTCCCTGTACATATACACACCTTTTTTTGAAAGGCCCCAGAGGCTGCAACACCTAAGCAAGAGGCACCACTAACCAAACACTGCCATGAAGACCAAAGAACTCTCCAAACAAGTAAGGGACAATATTGTTGAGAAATAAAGAGACTGCCGCCCACCAAAACTCACGGACCGGGCAAGGAGGGCATTAATCAGAGAGGCAGCACAGAGACCTAAGGTAACCCTGGAGGAGCTGCAGAGTTCCACAGCAGAGACTGGAGTATCTGTACATAGGATGACAATCAGGGCTCGAGTCCTGCAGGAACGCGTGGGAACGGCGTTCCTGCACTTTTTCCATGGCAGGAACGCCGTTCCCTTTGCTCCTGCAGGACCAGGGCAGCCCAGCCGGTGCTCCTCCTGAGCAGAGCCTTCACTATGCGAGCGAGCAGCATCGCATAGTGAAGGAGTCAGGACTCAGGAGTGGAGGACGTACTTCCGGGTTGCTCCTCCTCCGACCTCCACTGCCCTTTGCGTACGCGGAGTTTTGTGACATCACGCGGAGGCGGAGTCACGTATCGTGTCGGCAACCGTGACGGTGAGAAGGAGGGAGCACCCCTGAGACCAAGCCAGCCAGCACCCCTGAGTCTTCAGAAAAGTAAGTACATGATGGGGGCTGGGTGGTTGAAGAGGGGGGCTGAGTAATTGGAGAGGGTGGTAGGGTAAATGGAGATGGGGGCTGAGTAATTGGAGAGGGGGGTAGGGTAACAGGAGATGGGGCTGAGTAATTGGGAGAGGGGGGTAGGGTAAATGGAGATGGGGGCTGGGTGGTTGAAAGAGGGGGCTTATGAAATTTGGAGAGGGGGGGTAGGGGTAAATGGAGATGGGGGCTGAGTAATTGGAGAGGGGGGTAGGGAAGTAAAACGGAGGATGGGGGCTGGGTGGTTGGAGAGAGGGCTGAGTGGTTGGAGAGAGGTGGTGGGTAAATGGAGATGGGAAGGTATTGGAGAGGGGGGTAAGGTGGATGAAGATGGGGGCTGGGTGGTTGGAGAGGTAGGGTAAATGGAGATGGGGGCTGGGTGGTTGGAGAGAGAGGGCTGAGTGGTTGGAGAGGGGGGTAGGGTAAATGGAGATGGGGGCTGAGTGGTTGGAGAGGGGGGTAGGGTAAATGGAGATGGGGGCTGGGTGGTTGAAGAAGGGGGCTGAGTGGTTGGAGAGGGGGGAATGGTGGATGGAGATGAGGGCTGGGTGGTTGGAGAAGGGTGGATGGAGGGGGTGGGGGGCTAGTGTAAAAATAAATCAAATAACCCTAATATCACCACATTTGTTTAACCCCTTAAGGACGGCGGGCGTTCTATGCTGTCCTTAGGGAAGCAGCTCTAAATGCCGGAGGGCGGCATAGAATGCCCAAACCATCCATGTCTAAGTGTATTTTGATATTAATATATATATATATATATATAATTATATATATCAAAGTACACGTACAATGATATTGATTAAATATATATATAATTTTCATTATATATATTTATAAATAATATAAAATAAATATGTAAATACGTTAAAAAATAA